TCAGTGTGTTCCCCTTCATGAGACGCCAGCGCCACTCGAGCCCCTCCCCTGCTCAGGTTGCCACCCAGGCGACAGAGGAAGGCGGGAATACCAAGGGGGCCGGGCAAGCAGGTACCAACTCTGCAGCTGGCTCCAATGTCTGATGCTGGGCAAAAAAAAAAACAGTCCTCCTTTGCTTTCTTTTTCGAGTCAAACTGTCTGCGTGCAAGCCAGAGCTTCACTTCTACTGCAACATTACAAAAGCTAGGATATCAACCTTTAAGCTTCCTCTCTGAGCACAGGTGTTAATGCATACCTCAGCGCCGCCACATCTTATTCCCAGAGCAGTGAACCGCAAAGGAAAAATAGCTTTTACAGCTGCTTAGCCATCCTTTATCTAATATCAGTCCAAAAGGTCTTTCCTGTTGTTTTTGATATTGACTCCTTAAAACAAGTCTTCCTTTTTCGCTCAATAGCTTTCATAAAGAATCTTCTCTGTATCTCATAAGCAGGTTTAGGCAGAGCGATTGTTCAAAAAGCAATAGAAATGTAAAATATGTATTAATTGAAAACATTGTCTCAGCATGTGTGTGATTATCGTGCAGTTTGCTTGTCTTCATCATTCCATGCCGGAGCTTCACATTGCAATGGTTGTTGCTGTTAATTTAGCTCGAGCATGTTTTCATCCCAATAAAAAATGTCACAACAGCATTCTGTGTTGTGTTGTGCTCTCAGTGCTGCATGCTATGGTGAACAGTGTGTGTGTGTGTGTATGTGTGTGGATTTGTGATCAGGCTTTTGTTATCCTCATTTTCTTTCATGTGTCCTGTTTCTATAGCCTTGGGAGTATTTTAAGCACATCGCCTTTATATGTTGCATTCTTTTTTTGTGTGCATCTATTTAACTCGAGATGTGAAGGCTTTGGGCTATTGAATTATAGACTTCCAGTAACTCAGCCTATATGACAACTACTTCAAAAGGCTCAGGTCGGTTTCCATGCTGTTCTCTTTCAGTACTGTGTCTGAACTTAGTGCTTCTCCTACCGGACTGGCTCCATCTTCTGGCTGCATGAAGTCAAAATAACATAAATGTTCATACTCACTGTAAATAAGTGGTTCCCACCGGTTTGGCTTATGCCACTTCAAAGTTAACAAATGTCCCCTTATTGTAAGATTTAGCCATTTTGTGAGTTAGCGCCCCTACAGTTTTAAATCGCCATTAGCCTATAAAATATGTGGATTGCGATGCATTCAATTTATATAAAACATTGACTTCAATATTATTCCCTGAGTAGTGGTTAGTCTTACTGTCTAGCTTACCTTAAGTTTCCATTTTTTAAATTAGTGTAATCCCATGGTCCCTTCTTAGTTTTGTTTGTTGGTTGTTGGATTGGCTGTTACAGTCATAGACACAACAGTGCCTATCGAGACATTTTAAAAAAGGTATAATGCTACTTTGCTTGCGAAATGGTTAGGTAACAGGTTATGGTCGATGGTTCCCTTCAAAGATTGGCACCTTGGTGTTGATTTCCATTCTGTAATTATGACTGACAACTGTAACGTTACACATGCATTTTTTATATAACATAACTGTCAAAAACAAGTTGACAACTTTACAACACAGCCAAACATCAATCAAATGCAACAATAGAAGACATAGCTAGCCAGCAAATGTTACTCACCCGGTTACGTTAGCCCACTCACATGGCTTCCGTTCTGAAAACCTCTTCATCCCATGGGTTCAAAGCTCCTGTGATACACTCCCCAGTGCTCTGAGCTCCTAGTACTGACAGAATGGTCAACTGAAAAAAGCTTTACTCTTTGCCAAAATAGTGCTAACAATTGCGTCCGTCAGCAATCATTTAGCAACAAGTAAAGATTTATTTCACAATTAGTAAACTGCAAGAATTAAGGAAGAGGAGCTGTAAAATATCTATATCAGTATGATCCAATTTGACCAAAATCAACTTACCGCCTTAAAACCTTACACTTTTTCCATATTTGTATGCTATTGATTTAGGGTGAATAGTTACATAATTCTTCAACGTCATTTTGTGGGAAGACTTTTTCTTCATCCATTTAAATATCTTGAGAACCTCTCCGATTAATCTCAGTTAGTGAATCACTGCTGTAAATGCATCACATAAAATCGCTGTCCACATACATAATTATACTGTAACTATAGTCTATCCTGATGACATATCACCACTATGACTGAGCAAGTTGACCTTTTAGGTGACAATTCCGGGTAAGCGGCACTCCAATGATTTAAACTAGATGATGATACATACTAGAGATTAAATGTCAGCTTGTGTTTTGTTTTAAAAAAGAGTGGTTGAGGCAGTTCAAGCTGATCGGTAGCACTGATCTGTGTCAAACTTTTGCCGGGACCCCAAAGCCCATCTCACACACACACCATGTATCAATCACTTCAGGGGACATTACATTGACTTACATGCATTTCCTGGAGACTTATCCCTAACCCCACACATGCCTAACCAAGTCTTTACCCTGAAATTAATGGAGTCCCCGGAGGGGGACCGCCATGTTGTCCCCCATAAGGACAACACAACACACATACACACACACCACACACACACACAACACACACACACACACAACACACACACACACACACACACACACACACACACACACACACAACACACACACACTACACACACACCACACACACACCACACACACACACACACACACACACACACACACACACACACACACACACACACACACACACACACACACACACACACACACACACACACACACACACACACACACACACACACACACACACACACACACACTTTCTGAGGATTATCATAATCCGCTTATTCCCATTGCTCCATCCACTCTTGGCCTGAGAGTGAGTGTGTGAGAGAGAGAGTGCCTCAGGAAAAAAAGAGACTGTGTTCAGATAAAAAGCAATAAAAAAATAAACAACATTTCTCTTTATACCATAGATTTATTTTTAGAAGACTGAATGCGGTTTGGATTTTTTACCAGATTGAATAGTAGCCTACCAGTACTAGGAAGAAATGTTTTTGTTTACATGGAACATTACCTTCCTCCTAATGCATAAGAGATATACTATGTTGTAGTGGTACAATACCTTTCATATTCCTACTTGAATATGACATGCAAATTAAGTGATGCACACTCAGATACAAGGGGAAAAAAGAAAAAAGAAAAATGTGACGGAAACATTCAATTTGTGTAAAATCTCTAATGAGAAAATCATCACAGCATGGGAAATAAACATACTATATGACTTACATTTGAATGCAAAATGCTCAGTAGGTTCACAGGTGCAAGAGACAAATCAAACATTCACAAGTGCGTAAAGTGCACTCATTCACAGAAAACACGAAGACAAGAGGAGGCACTGGACACAGTAACCTAAATATACAATCGTAGCGATACTACGCATACTGCCTATGTACATCACAGTACATAGCGTAGGGATTTTTTTTCTTACAAAGTGCTTAAGAATGAGTGTTGACAAAAGTAAGAACTGATACGGTTTCAGAGTGGAAAAAACAGAGAAGATGATAGTGCCAAATGATACTGCCATTCAGATTCATTACAAGCTACATTTACAACTGAACATTGACATAGCCTTCTGCCATGTGCATACAAAAGTGGATTTTTAGAAGGCATGATACACGTGGGAGGCAGAAAGAGACGTTGGTTTTTAAAGGGGCCCTATTACAGTCATTTTCAGGATCATATTTTTATTTTGTGCCTCTGCTGCAGTATTTCTCAAAGTGGGGGGCTTAGAGGCATGACAGGGGGGGCGAGAGAACAGGAGGAAAAATGGTTGTGAAAAAAAATAAAAAATAAAAAAAATCATAATTTGGAAAATTATTTATTCGAAAATAATATGCTACAGTACAAGTACGCCTGGGTCTCTGTGTTTCATTCAAGCCCGGCTCTGTGTGTGTGTGTGTGTGTGGAAGGAGCCATTTTGTGTGCGAGCGAGAGAGAGAGCGCACCGGTACCGGAGATCGATGTTGTTAGCTTCTGGTGCTAGCGAGCTACGCTAACGGATATAAGGAGCTTTTTCCACAACAAGGTGGAGGAGAGTCCTCTCCTGTCAGACTGAGAGGCTCAGTGAGCTAAAGGACTCTCTCAGTGTTTAGATAGTTAACTTTAGTCTAAGTTATCTCAGTGGGTCTCAAACGGTTTGGTCACGATTAATTTAAACAATTATTTCCGAGGCGCACGTTTATATGATCATTATAGTTATAAAAATGAAAATGAAAAACAGGTATGAAATACTATATGACAGTAAAACAAGAATAAAGTTTAAAAGGGGAGTGAGTTGTAAAATATCCATAAAGAAAAGGTAAATCTGTTTACAGTTCTGTTTCAGGGTGTTGAGAGATGTATCCATAGATCTCTCAATGTTGCTCTCAACGTGCACCAGATTGATGCTTTTAACTTCAATATGTAAAAAACAAATCTTCCCGGGGGAGCAGGCCCCCAGACCCCCTAGAGGAGGTGAGGACCCCCCTAGAGGATGTTAGGTCCACACACCACCTATAAAAATACCACTTTACCCCTGCTTACATCTATATGCCGTGAGCTGATTATCGAGCATTCATTGTAACTGTCGCAGGTGTACTGTGTATATGCGTGGGGATTGTTGCAGTAGAAAATTCCACTGTAGCGACCGGTACATTAATGGGAAACCCTACATGTTTGAGCACCCTCTATGAAACGTCAAGCTACCACACAGCACCCCCAAAAGAAAATCTCTGAAGAAATGTGCAGTGCTCATTGCAGACACTAATTCTATGATAAGACACACTTTTTGGCCAAATATCAGCATTTTTTTCTTTTCATTTTTTTGCACAGATTGCAAAGTGGCAAAGTATTATAACTTATTGCTATAGCAAAGGGATTGCACAATTCTATTTATTTTTTTGACCACACAGACTTATGGAGCATTGTTTTATTATCACTGTTCTAGCAAAGTGATTTTTAAAAAATTTTTTAAAAGGAATGCTCACGTTCATATTGATCTATTTTAATAAATGTTAACTTGGCCCATTACGTGACTATTTATGTTGGGGGGGCCCCGACTTTTTTTTTTCTCCAAAAAAAAGCCCAGTCTGCTCTGATTAGGGAGAGTGTGTGGGAGAGAAACTCATGGAGGCAACTTTGGGATTTTAGCCCTTGAAGACCATTTACATGCACAAAGACCTAAATAACAAACTACAGGTAAAACCCCCAAAAGCATAATAGGGCCCCTTTAAGCAATTTATTTGAGCTGTTTTGATCACTTTTATTCAATGATTCATTTTGCAGAAAAAAGCTTGAAATAACTAATCATTTTGTTATTAGCTAGTAAATATAAAATTTTAAAGGCTGTTTAAACCACATGGCGGTTAAAATAGAAGCATATCTTAAAATAGATCATAAAGGTTTAGCCCAGGCCTGGGTGGAAAAAGACAATATAAGAGGATACAAGAATGAGGAGTGTTTAAATTGACTATAAATATGTTATACTTTATCATACAATAGGCAGAATATAAAGATTTAAATATTTAATATAATTCTTAATAAATATTCAAAAGATACATTTTGGAGCCAATATGTACATACACAATATGTACAATTGACCGTCATGAGGGCCAAGGTCAGTTGGTGTGCCACCTGACGGTTTGGCTGTTTATACTTTTTAGATATTTTTATCTAACGATCTCTGAAGTTTCGGATTTGCCATGAACGATCGTTGTAGACCCCGCAAGAAAGCTATAGCTGCCAATTAAAAAAAAAAATGGTGTTCCCATCCCACTTAGACAGAAAAACAAGTGTAAATAGGATGCAGTTAAAAAAATGACAGAGGTTACCCTACCCGTGTGTCTTTTTACCCTTTGTGATTGTTCGCAGTGCCGTTACACTATCAATGCTTCGTCACTTCCTTACAGTGGTTCCTGTCCTACTACGTGACAGTGTAGAGTTCGTCCTTGTCATTCTGACATAGCGTGTAGCCACAGACCTGGGGTCTCCAGCTCCAGGTCCAGCCTCTGTTCCAGCCCAGCGCCTCCCTGTTTTTCTCCTTTGGCGGCAGCAGGAACACCACGCAGCTGGCCACCAGGATGTGCCACAGTGAGTGTGTGTAGTAGTAGTTGTCTTCCGTCTCAGCAAAAATGTACAAACAAACCCCAACAAGAGCGCAGACTGCTCCGGGGATCAGGAAGAGGACCCAGCGCCTCCAAGAAGGTGGGTAACAGTGTCGGCGCCGCACCCCTCGGTACACCTGTAAGAGAACTGGGTTTAGCACAACTCAAGAACACAGCTTTATCATCAATCTTCTGTTTTAGCAGCTAACAGCAAAGTTAGCAGCGAATCTCATTCACTGAAGGACATGTCTTACCCAGGTAGTGACCATGAGCAGTATGGCACAGATGACAGGGCCCAGCAGGTTCCACAGGCCTTTTCGGTCCAGCTGCATTGACATGGCTATAAGCAGAGCCCCGAGCATAAACAGAGTCTGCACACGCAAGGTGTACAAAAAAAAAGGTTAAAATATCATGTTCTTCCTGAGTTTGAGGGAAAGTTTGGAATTCTGAAGTGAGGTTGTATGAGGTAGAGTTGGAGAAACAGACAGTCCCCAGAAAATGAGCCATGTCAGTCAATGAGGTTAAAAAATACCTTTTCTCATTGACTTACAAACTAGTGTATCGCTTTTTCTTACGTAAATCAATTTCACAGTACGAACACCTGAATAGGTTGTTTTTTTAAACCAATAGGACCGTAAAGTTGTAAAATGCACTACAAGTCGAAACTAGAGTTATTTTCCCTCTCCAATCAATTGACCGGATGTGACAGAGCAGATTAGAGGCGGGGCTAAGGGGAAACGCAAGTGCACATGCTCTATGAGCCCTATAGATGTGGTAGATCAATATTAGTTAAGGTGCATGAATATTTTCATGACTTTACCATCAGAGAGCCTTTTCTGGGAACTATGGTCCTTACCTGCTCTATCATTGACAAAAACAATCATTTGACCTCAGCAGAACACAGAAGTTGCCAGTCTAATGCTTGCTCTAATAGTTATTTTGTTTGCGTTATTGTGTGGCGTCGGTGTTTAAAAGGACGTAGTTTTCATCAAAGTCACAGTTTTTATCAATGGAATCTGATGGCAACAAAAGGCAGAGAAAATATTAAAAATATAGTGTACATGTGAAATGATGATTGTTTTTAGGTGGATAAGCACTTTGCTGAGGACCTGCCAGGTGCCATCTACTGTTATTAATACACTAAATATAGATAAGTACTTCCACAAATCAAATGATCCAAACTATCCCTTTAAATGTAATAACTAATGATAATATAAGTGTGCATCATAGTATTATAGTAATGAACAATAGTCGGTGTCTTACATATTTGAATATGTCTTTGATGCGGGCCATGCACAGGATGGTGACCCAAATGGAACAGATTGACCCGAGGAAGTCACAGTATTGCAGGGCATCGTAGTCCATTATACACATTACTGCTACACCCGGCTGGTCACAAGCATGGTAGAACTGAAATATAAAGAGACCAAGAAGTTACATACAAATATATACTAATATAAGTATATCCAAATGATCTTATTACAGCATAAGTAAGAAAAAAATCCTTGCGGTGAAATCGTGTGAAATGCTGATCTAATCTTGCGTGGGTTCATTTGTTTCTTTTTAAACTCAAGACATTTATCATCATAGACACAGGCTCTATTAATACCTATTATTAAAACAAATAAATAGTCAGCGGACATAGTCAGCATATTTAATACCACACATCGTAATAGTAAACAAAATCAACATGAAGTCTGTAGTGTCCTGAAATACATAAACTGAGGGACAATTTCAGCCAAGTGTTAACACAATGTCAAACCTTACACAACATTATACCAAAGGGCCTCAAGAGGATGAACAGCACTCTAGGAACATGGCTAGAATGCAACATTCACACACATGTACGCAAGACTGTGTTTCTGTTACCGTGGAGAAGAACATGGTGAAGAGGTAGACGGAGGCCTCGGGGATGAAGCAGCGTTTGACGGCCACCACGGTGGCGGGCAGGAAGGCCAGGTTGCTGAGCGTGAGCAGCAGAGTGGCCGTCAGCTGGCGACCGTACGACTGAGCTGAGGAGCCATCGGTGCAGCCCCACCCGCTCCACCCTGCACACACACACATTACGTTTAGAGTTACTTATGCCTGCATCAATAGATTATAAAACCGGCTTTGCATGTGTTTGTATTTTTTGATCATTATTTCAATGCTTAGCTAGTCCTCTCTGTGTTTGTGGTTAGACGCCAGGGGAGCAGTGGTGTAAAGTATCTAGTAGTACTGTCATTAAGTAACATTTTGAGAAACTTGGGCCAATCTGCATGAGTACTTTTGTACTTCTACTTGAGTAACATTTTGAATGCAGGACTTTTATAGTATAGTACAGTATTTCTACACTCTGGTACTTCTACTTTTCCTTAAGTACAAGATCTGAGTACTTCCCTCATTTCTGCAGGGGAGACAAACAAAGCTGATGACAGGATTCTTTTCAAGAACTATTAAATGTACATTTTCAAGACTTTGCATGAACCTTTTTGTTATTTAACTGAAAGCAAGAAAGTATCTGTGTGCGCGTGCGTGTGTGTGTGTGTGTGTGTGTGTGTGTGTGTGTGTGTGTGTGTGTACCAGTCTTGCAGTCACAGGTGGCGTACAGGTAGCTGTAGGATCTGAGCAGTCTACATTCTCCATATGTCCCACAGTCCTCCACACAGGCACTGATGAACACCTCAGGGACCACAGACACCAAGGAGGCATTACCACAGTCACTGCTGCAAGAACAGAGAACACATGTACATAACAAACACAGGAAAGTTCTAGAATTAGGGTCAGGCATTAGATTTAAAAAACAATGTTTTTTTATACAGTCTCGAAATGAGGTCTCTCAAAATGCAAAATCAAAAATATTCCTCCTGTGATTTGGTTTCTGGATGCGTGGCACTAGTACTGAAAGTTAGACATTATTCTTGGACATTTAAACTTTATTCTCAAATGGAAGAAAAATGTCAAATATCCTCCAATATTTCCCCCCCATAGGTCTTGCCTTAATACTCATGCTGTAACCCTAACCCGATGTATGTTTTTATAACCGCATAAAGGGTGGGATAATGTCTGTAATTATAACATGAACAAGTCTACAGAGGCCATTTTATCTGTAGAGTGTTCAAGGATGTGTTTGGGTGAATTTCAAATAGCAGTGTTATCGGAAAAATGCACAAAGAGAGAGAGAGAGTTTGTGTGTTGTGTGTGTGCGTGCGTGCGTGCGTGCGCGCTACCTGTTGCATGTGAGCTGCAGGGTGAGGTACCATGTTGCTGACTGAGGGAAAGGCAGCCTGACCACAGCTTTAGGATCACTGACGTTCACACGGACTCCGTACCCACCGAACAAAGCTGCAGATACACACAGGAGGATTTCATTTCCATATCGCAGAGGCAAGCTTCCTGACTTGCTTTGTTTACTGTCTACATACTGCCTCTAAATTAGACACAATTCCTTAAAAGCTTGGATGTTTTACTGTGACTTTTTGTTGTGAGTCAAAGCATTATTGAAACCTATCCCAGCATGCACTTGGCAGTTGCCAGGAAAACATATTTGAAAGATTGACTGTCATATGTTATACATTTCTAAATTGACTTGCTCCATTATTTTGAATAAGATGAACTCAATTGTACATTCCCTTTCCTTTTTCAATCATCAATCCTATATCATATATATTTCCTGCTATTCTTATATTATACATTATATTTGTTTTATCTTCCATTTTATTCATTCTGTAATGTAATGGAACTGTCACGAAAACTAATTTCCCTCATTGAGCCCTGGGTTCTAATAATGATAAATAAATAATAGAATATATTTAAACTATGGTTTGATGCTCCGAAGGGTTGTACTGTAGGTTCAAGTCCAGATTGAACAAAAATAACACAGATTTGTGATACTGTTGAGGTATCCTTGAGCAAGGCAATGCATGCCCAACTGCCTCCTGGCGTCTAATATGTATAGGTACTGTGCGTAGTTGTGTGTACACATAACTTAGAGTGAAAACCTGAATTGTCCCTAGGGGATTAACAAGGTGGCTTCTACCTCTAAGCAAGTGGGTGTTGGTGCTGCTAAATATGGTTTAACTAGGGGTTGCTTGTGCATGTGTGTCACTGTCCACAGTACTGATTGGACGGGGTGGAGGAGAGCGATAGAGACACAGATGGAACACGTCTTAGCCTTCGTTTCCGTGCTTGTTAATAGAGATAAAAGAGAGCGGCCACAGCCTGAGAACCACTGCATTATGATACTGCAGTTATATCCATGTCTTCATTGCATGTTTGTGTGAGTTTGCATGTGTAAGTGTGGTTCTGTGTACTACCTGTGCGGCAGGGCTGAGAGTGGTTCAGGTCGAGGACTGGAGCCCAGGGAGAGAGACAGGCCACCACACTGCTGCTGTTAGCCACGGTTATATTAGTCTGAAACACACACACACCAAAGTTAAACCTGAACACAATGGCTTGTCATAAAGTATATGTATGGACGCTGGATTGCACACAGCCCTGATCGACTAAATTCTGTAGCTACAGTCAAGATCATGTGAAACGAATTTCAAAGGAATTCAGCCGTGTCTTGGTAGATTATCACTTCAACATCCTCATGTGTGTAATGGTGTGTGATAATGCAGTAGTACTCACAGTGTTGAGTGTGAGCTGCAGGTTGAGCGTCCCCCCGGTTGCTTGTGTGTGCAGGGGGTAGGTGAGCAGCGTAGGGTGTGTGTCAGTGACGCTGACGTTGGGTCCGTTAGCGGGAGTGAAGCGCATGGACAGGACATCCAGCTCCTCGTAGAGGATGGGGATGCTCCACACGCACGCCGACGCCAGCAGCGGCGTCAACAGGGATGCTGAGTCGTTGCTCGGGGCGACCGCGTCCGTAACCACCGTGTCGTTGTCGGCTGATGTTGAGTTGGTGAGGTTGCTCTTGCTGCGGAGCTTGTTGATGTCGTCATCTACTTTAAGGCCGACGCTTTTTGGCTTACACCCCACTGAGGAACACACACAAGCAGAATAGAATACTTACACACAGGTCGGGAAGTGGATTAAAACAGAATAGAGCTGCAAAGATAACAAATAATAGGTGAAGAAATTATGTTTTTGGTTTTCTTTAAGCTTATTTTTTGAGCCAATTGTAGCCTTTCTTGGAGGGCTAGATTAAAAAGGGAGAGATAGTGGGGATCACATGCGTAACGGGACCACAGGCTGGATTCTAACCTGCGTCCTTTGCTTCAGGGTCTAAGCCAAAGTACATGGGTCACCAATTGTGAATGCGGCGGAGCATAAACAACTTAGGCAAACATTTGATTAATGCTTTAAAATAGTTTTTAATTGCAAAAATGGGAGAAAATGCTGTTTCCAGCTGCTCATATATAGAGATCATGTGGTTATATCTTTTTTATATCGTACTGAACTCAATATACTTTTGGGTTTATGAACTATAAACCACAACATCATCTTAGACTTTAGGAAGTTAGGGCAGACTTTGTTTTTCTTCACAATTTGAAAGCAATGAATCTACAAAATATCTATATTGAAAATAATAGAATACTTTACGCACACAGGTCAGGAAGTGGATTGGAATAGAGTAAAATAGCAATCATTAGATATCTTATAGATAGAACAAATAAAACATTTGATCAGTTTTAGTCTATTTTTAGAGAGAGATAGATTTTAAAAGGGGGACAGATGGGCGACCCATCATCAACTATGTTCAGATGATAAAACAACATATGTTGGACTTTAGGAAACGGGGACCAACTTATATATCATGTTCTGACATTTGAAACGAGTAATAAATAGAGATGTCAACTACTTTGATAACAGATCAACCATTAGTCAAAACATAATGTCCCTAAGTCTCTCAAATATGGACATTTCCCTCCCAGGACAGTTTCATATTATTTTTAAACTGAATATCTTTGGGTTTTGGACTGACAACACATACAAAAAAACTGTTACCTTTTATAGAACAAAGAAGTAATAGATGAATCAAGAAAGTATTCAGCAGACTAATCAATAATGAAAATAATAATTAGTTCCAGCTCTTTAACACATAAGTGTGTACTGTACGTGTGTTTATGGACATGTGTTTCTGTGCCCACCTGTGTAGTTTGAGACGATACTAAAGGTGACGGTGCGGTTGCCTAGGCTGCTCTCCACAACAACCCGTAACCAGGTATCCCAAGGCGGGTTGGAAAGAGTAGCTGAGCAGCCAATCCCTGAGCAGTTCACTGTTACCGGGCGCTGCTGCAGGGAGGTGGAGCCCAGCCGGAGCACCAGGGAACAGTTCCCATCATCTGCCGCCTCACCAGAGGAACAGTCCGACACAGAGACCGAGAGGGAGGACGCAAACTCTGGAACATACAACCTAACACAAACACATTAACCAGACTCACATGTAAGAAGTTGAACAGATAAAACAGAACACAGGACTTGGGATGGGACAATTTGGGACTTTATCTCAACAAAAAACAACAACAAATAACAATCATAATAAGTTGATCTTGGTAAATGTCCATTATTGAGGTAATTGAGAATATCATCATTATATATAATACAGGAATATTTATCCAAGACACAATGTTGCTATTTTTTCAGTATGTTTTGGTGCCATTTTAGTTTCCGAATCTTTTATTGATTTTGCGTATTTTGATGATTATCGATGAGAAAAAGATGAATGCCAATTATTTAGGCGTGAAATTGTGACATGAGATTTTGACCTTGCCGAGATGGAAAACAGGAAGTAACCACAAAGGCAGTTCTTACTTAAGGCGTGCAGGTGTGTCAGGAGCTGCGGTCTGCTGGAGGAATGTGCCCTGCTGCATGATGGGAGTGTCCACCGCTCTCCTGATTGACAGCTGCGGCTGGAAGAGGTACGAACAAGATGGAAACCCCTAACAGAGAAGAGATTATTATATTAAATATGAATATACTGCCACATATTTCTGTTCAATTGATTGAAGTGCCAGTTCATACAGGCACTTCAAAGTGCAAAACAACTGCACTACTTCAGTAAGACTCAGTAAGTCAGCAATATGAGCCAAAGTAAAGAAGGTGAAGAATGTGGCGCAGCTAGATTCCCCCTGCTCAGGTAGAACAGGTTGGGTTTAAAGGGAAATCTACAAGTGGAGCATGATGGGAACACTTTATCATGGCCTTTTCATTTCAACACATTCGAGAGTGCACCAATCTCTCCATGTTCAAATAACAAATCAAAACTCACCTCTTCAGAACTGATTTTATTCTGGTATTAATGTTATGTTCTGTATCTCCAGTGATTTGAATCATTCTTTACATAAAAAAAACCTTTTAAAAAAGTACCTTGAAGTGGCGCTTTTTAAATGTAATGTAATCAATTTAGACCAAATAATGGACAAACGTTAGACTGAAAATTAGACACATCCAATCAACAGACAGTTTAAAGAGGCCATATTATGCTTTGGGGGTTTTCTCTTTCCTGTATTGTGTTAAATAGGATTTGGTGCATGTAAATGGTCTGCAAAGGCCAAATACCCTGTGTTCCCTCCAGAGTTTCTTCCACACACTCCCCCGCCTGCCTGAAATGCCTCCATTGGACTCCTATGTTTACTTCCATCAAATAGTGACATCACTACATAACACTCTCGCTTTGATTGGCTAGCGCTCCAACACATTGCACATAATAAGGGTGGGGACATTTATAAAGGGTTGACCAATCACAACAGAGCCTGCCCCAACCAATCAGTCAGAGGGTGGAAAGAGGTGCTGCAGCACAGGCAGTATGAGACAAATAAAGACCTTTTTGAACATTGAAAGCATGGAACTCTTGAAATACTGGTGTTGTACTGGATTTGATTTTTAAACAGACTTCAAATAAATTGCAGTCATTTCAATTAGTATGGTGTATGTGTGCATTACGTCCACTAAAACAACAGACACATCAGAAAGTAAAATACTGTATATGACTCCATACAAACCTTCTGCTCAATACGCCCATCATGTTCAGGCAGGTGGGCACCAACGAACCAGTCTCCGGGAGCAGGGTTGGAGAGGTTAAAGGTCGTGGAGCTTTGTGATGTCACCGGTAGGATCAGAGACAGAGGGGGGCTCCATAGTGTCGCATTGGGAAACACCTTCCCTGTTGGATTTATGACTGGAGGAGCACCGTATTGGATATGGCTACAGACAAAGAGAGTTCCAAAGTTAGTTTGATAAAAAGCGGCAAGGTTATTGGCTTAATATTCAGCACACAACTGCTTTATAGAGATGAAGAAGAGCCAAAACGGGAACAGAAACTAAAATACATATCATAGACAATGGATAGACGAACACATGATGCTGGAATAAGTACTGTGTATCTTACATGGTGACATTGTGCTTTCCACAGTTGAAGTTGTTGCCCTTGGTGACGGAGAACAGCCAGCGGGCGATGGCAGTTTCCTCTGGTATATGAAACCTCTGCAGCCTCACGTTGCCATACCAACCGTACTTTGACAACTTCTGAGCCGGTTTGGACGAGAGCTCTGAGACAAATGTCACCTGTCCATCTGTAGTGGGTAAGATAAAAGACAGTTATTTTCTATAAACACCTGATGAAATATAACACTCCAATGGGAGTATTAACCCATCGATGGCCGCAAGAGCAACTTTCTATCAGTCAAACCGTTTGGCTGAAATGAGTTGTTTCACTTATTCTATATTTCATCTTCGAGCACATAGTACAACTGTTTTTTGTTTTTTTAAATGAATTATATTGATATCATATGTTTGTATAGTGGTCTTATGTGCCCAAAACTACATGTTTTATTATATGTAAATGATCTCAGAAACTATAATAAACTCAATCAAGGAGTGTGTAAAAAAGTGTAACAAAATAAACTCCTGCAGAAGACCACGATTAAACAGTGTAAGGGTTTCCTTCACGTTTTTGATTATTGATGAGTTTCACTTTTATTGTGATCAAAACGTGTCATATTGTATTGGTCTTAGCACATATCAAGACTTTAACCAGGCAGAACAAATGTTGTTGCGTTTCCCAAATCAAGCAAGATATAATCTTTGGGTTAAAAAAATTACAAAATATTGTGGTAATCTTAACTACCGAGATAAAGAGTAACGTATACAGCTCATCTGACGAAATTAATAGTTTACACTAAAATGCTGACACACTCATTAAGGGACCTAAAAAGTCTAAACATTGGTGCATGTCAACGCTTCTAAGCACATCACCAATTAGCAGTATGGTACAGTGAAAATAATTATAATAACAATAATAGATACATTGTTTAAACAAAAATGTTCAAAGTGTGAGAGTATTTTCCAGAGCAGAGACTGCGCTAAAGGTTTCTGTCAGTCAGCTAAACTCGGAGCAAACATAGTAGCGAACATGCTAACACCAGTTATATCTGACTTCGTCCCTTTGACTTAAAAACACTTACCGTCTGCTAAAATCCAAGCTGACAGGGCGACGAAAAGTAGAGCACGTAGAAAACACATTTCCATGTTTTCTTTGCCAGCTTTTGCACCATTACATTGTTATTTATCCACCTGTAATGTCCACTAATGTCAAACAAATCTAACGCTACGGACAAATCATTCCAACTGCACAGCACTTCCTGGTTTCTGTGTAAATACACGACGTCACGAATTTAACGGGTGCTGCCTTTGCTGTCTGTCGGAAAGATGAATATCATATACAGAAACGAACAAAACAGTGATAAATCCGCCTTTCATTTGTAATTTAACTCATTTTGAAAGATATAATCTAATATAATAAAGCATCTGTAACAACACATTTGTGTTAATAAATCAAATATAATACACACAATTAATTACATGTAGGTGTTGTGGTTATATGATATTGACACTAAAGACTACGAGCTTTAGATTACCAAAAAGACAACGCTGCAATTCATGTTTTTAACCACCTAAAATGTGTGTAAGGCAAGGCAAGTTTATTTATATAGCACTTTTCAACACAAGACAATTCAAAGTGCTTTAGAAAAAATTAAAGAGATTAAGAAAATGGCATTTAAAATCAGTCATTAAAAGAAAAGCTAATAAAATAAACATTACAAGAAAAAATACATGGATAAAAGTTACAGTGCAGTCAATTAAACATTAAAAGAAAAAAGTACATGGATAAAAGTTACAGTGCAGTCTAAGATATGAATAGTTCAATTAAAAGCAGCGACAAAAAGATAAGTCTTCAGCCTGGATTTAAAAGTAGTCAGAGTTGCAGCGGACCTGCAGGTTTCTGGGAGTTTGTTCCAGATATTTGGAGCATAATAACTGAACGCTGCTTCTCCATGTTTAGTTCTGACTCTGGGGACAGAAAGCTGACCAGTCCCTGAAGACCTGAGAGATCTGGATGGTTCATAATTTAGCAGGAGGTCAGAAATGTATTTTGGGCCTAAACCATTCAGTGCTTTATAAACCAGCAGCAGTATTTTGAAATCTATTCTTTGACACACAGGAAGCCAGTGTAAAGACTTCAGAACAGGAGTGATGTGATCCACTTTCTTAGTGTTAGTGAGGACTCGAGCAGCAGCGTTCTGAATCAGCTGCAGCTTCCTAATAGATTTTTTAGTGAGACCTGTGAAGACACCATTGCAGTAGTCGAGTCTACTGAAGATAAAAGCATGGACAAGTTTTTCCAAATCCTGCTGTGACATTAGTCTTTTAATCCTAGATATATTCTTTAGGTGATAGTAGGCTGATTTAGTAACTGTTTTAATGTGACTGTTGAAACTCAGGTCAGAGTCCATGACTACACCTAGATTTCTGGCTTTATCTGTTGTTTTGAACATTGCACACTGAAGCTCAGCGCTAACTTTTATACGTTCTGCCTTGGCTCCAAAAACCATTACCTCAGTTTTATCTTTGTTTAATTGGAGAAAGTTCTGACACATCCAGTCATTGATTTGTTCAATGCACTTACTCAGTGTTTGAATTGGAGCATAGTCTCCTGGTGAAATTGTTACGTAAATATGTGTGTCATCTGCATAGCTATGGTAACTTATTTTGTTGTTTTTCATTATCTGAGCCAGTGGTAGCATGTAGACGTTAAAGAGAAGAGGCCCCAAGATGGAGCCTTGAGGAACCCCACATGTCATATTTGTCAACTCAGATGTGTATTTACCTATAGAAACAAAGTTGTTTCTGTCCTTAAAGTAGGATTCAAACCAATTTAGAACTGTTTCCGAAAGTCCCACCCAGTTTTCCAGTCGGTCTAGTAATATGCTGTGGTCAACAGTGTCAAACGCAGCACTGAGATCTAATAATACTAACACTGAAGTTCTGCCACTGTCTGTGTTTAAGTGGATGTCATTAAAGACCTTTACAAGAGCAGTCTCAGTGCTGTGGTTTGGACGAAAGCCTGACTGGAACACATCAAAACAGTTATTTAAATGCAAGAAATTACTCAACTGTTGAAAAACAACTTTTTCAATGATTTTACCTAGAAATGGCAGGTTTGATATGGGCCTGTAATTGTTCATTACTGAAGCATCTAGATTATTCTTTTTTAAGAGCGGTTTAATGACTGCAGTTTTCAGGGCCTGTGGAAAAATACCTGAGTGAAGAGATTTGTTTACTATATGAAGTAGATCTGAGGCCATGCAAGGAAAAACATCTTTGAAAAATCCTGTTGGAATAATATCAAGGCAGCAGGAGGAGGATTTCAGAAGTTGTATAATGTCCTCTAGGTTTTTATCATTAATCTGATGGAATTGTGTCATGGTGTTTGAATTGATGTTAGGTGGACACAGAGACAACACATTTGCTGTACCTGATGCAGAGGCACTGACTGCTTGTCTGATTTTCTGAATTTTGTCAGTGAAAAAGGCAAAATCATTGCACGCCCTGGTGGATAGAAATTCAGAGGCTACTGACACTGGGGGGTTTGTTAGTCTGTCGACGGTAGCAAACAAGGCACGTGCATTCTTTTTGTTTTTGGTAATGATGTCAGAGAAGAACGATTGTCGTGCGTTTTTCAATTCCAAATTATAAAGGCCAAGTCTCTCTTTATAGATTTCAAAGTGAACCTGGAGATTTGTTTTTCGCCACCTGCGTTCAGCTTTTCGACATTCTCTTTTTTCTGCTCTCACGGTCATGGCCTTTCTCCATGGAGATATTTTCTTGCCAGACACTTCCTTTACCTTAGTTGGAGCAATGGCATCTATAACATTTTTAATTTTAGAATTAAAATGATCTACTAGCTCATTTACTGAGATGTTAGCAGGGGCAAGTGTGGAAGAAAAATTCTGAGTAAACATTTCCCTAGTATTTTCAGTTAAATATCGCTTTGTGGTTACCTCTTTTTGAACATTTTTGTGAACAGAAATAGAGCTCTCAAAGAAAACACAGGAATGGTCAGAGAGTGCAACATCAGTCACCACAACCTTAGAAATATTCAGACCCTTTGAGATAATTAAGTCCAGAGTGTGCCCCTTATTGTGCGTGGGCTCCGTCACATGCTGAGTCAGTCCATAGCTATCAAGAACACAAAACAGTTCTTTAGCCCCTCTGTCCTGGGGGTTGTCAACATGGATGTTAAAATCACCAACAATGACTAGACGGTCAAAGTCAATACACACTATAGACAGCAGTTCAGTAAAGTCATCAAAAAAGCTGGCACAGTATTTGGGTGGTCTATAGATATTTAGGAACAGAGCTCGAGAGGAGCATTTCAGCTGAAGGGCCACATATTCAAAAGAATCAAAGTTTCCATACGATGTCTTCCTGCATTGAAGGGAATCATTGAACAGAATATCAACTCCACCCCCTTTCTTATGCATTCTTTCCTGACTCATAAAACTAAAGTTGGGAGGGGTTGATTCGATAAGAACAGCTGCACTATTATTTTGTTCAATCCAAGTTTCTGTTAAAAACATAAAATCGAGATTGTGCTCAGTGATAAAATCATTGATTAAAAATGTTTTTCCTGCCAAAGACCTGACATTTAATAAAGTTAGTTTAAGTTTGTTAAACACACTATCAGTCATGTTTTTTGTAACAAGCTGTGGCTGACATGGAATCACTGCTAAATTAGATAAACTCACACAAACGTTTGAGCGCTTCCTGTTTCTATAATTCACCGCTCTTAATCTATTACCTATCAACACAGATATCGGCAAAGCTACTGGCAGGCAGGGCCCCGACATGTCCTGGAAAGAGTTGAGAGTGCCATACGCCCTTGAGCCTGGACCCATCACATATCAGTAAGAGTTTGCTGTGTTTTGTACACACACATCCTTATCAGGCTTCGGAGACTGCAGATGCTTTCTTGAAGGGAGGGGAGGTGGTTGACGTAGGCACGGTGATGGAGACGGGCGAAGGTGTAGTATCTGTCATGAAGTATGTATCAGCATCAAATTACTTAAAGTACCAAAAGTAAAAGTACTCATTACGCAGATTGGCCCATTACAAAATAATAGATATATGTTCTGATTATAATTATTGATCATTAAAGTGTTATCAAAGCTGGTAAAGGTGCAGCTAGTTTAATGACTTTGTATACTGCAGGGTAGCTTGTGAATTTACTCCAGTTGTGACTAAAGTCTGATTTAAGGGTTGATTATATTTCACATTATTCATCCAAATCTGTAAAGAAATTAACGGTACAAAATAAATGTAGTGAACTAAAAGTACACTATTTACCTCATATTTATTGTTGTACTATATTTACAACTGTCAAAGATGTAAAAGACACTGAACAATATGAGAGAAATAAGCACAAGAAAGCTAGCAGCCATTATTGTATATGAAAAAATCAGACAATTGAATTAAATTAATTGCAATCACATGAAAACGAGAGAAAAGTTCATGATCAATATCTCTGCAATTCTAGTAATCTTCTAAAAGAGCTTCTTCACATTTGTGGTTGCCTTCATTTTAGGATAAACATGTTTTTGGGCTTTTGAAAGTATTACAAATACACATATCAAACAGTTTACATCTACTTAATTTATTTAGCAGTTTTAAAGTGCAATTTAAATCCTACTGCATTACTGTCAAATTTGAAAGGAATAGCTTCAAACCAGAGATCATCCATTGAAATGGTGCTTATGGGAGATCATAGAAACATCACATCGTCCAGTGACTCCACCCAGCACCACTGAGCGTCATAGCCCAGCAAAGCCGTCTCTCTATTGGGCGCAGTCTCTTCCTCTTCCATGGTATTGTTCAGAGAGGTGCTGGGACTCTCCTGAGCTTGGTGATCTGCCTGTGACTGTTCAGTGAGGGAAAAGCTACCACTATCTGCTCTCATGTCTTTTTTTGCTCTGCGAGATCTGAGGAGAACTTTTCTGACAATGTCAGTGCCGGCTTTAAGGTCTTGTGGTTGTGACTTTGGAAATGTGGCTCTAACCAAACCATTAACAGGAGTAGATGATGCCCCATCACGCCTGCCATGTGTGGAAATACTGACTTCAAACTCAGGGGTGGAAGGACTTGATTGCCTTGCTTCAGTAGACTCTGGGATCTCCATGTGGTTTGTATCCACGTCATCAGTGGATAGTGTGTGATCAGCTGATTCCTCTCCAGATGTTTCAGTCAAATCCTGAGTTGGACTCTGGCTTTCTCTGTGGGAGCAAAGGTTTTTGCTAAATGTTTACCTTCAAAATGCAGGGATACGTTACATTTAACAATGTTTGGGAAATGTTTCTTGGTTTTAGGTTTCAGATTTGTTGTGTTGAATGTACACAAGTGCACTGCATGGACCTGGTCAAAAACCTGTGGTCATTTACAAGGATGTGAGGAAATGCTCAGTTCATGTTCAAGAGATTTAACACAATCCTGGTCAGTGTATTTTCACAGCAGTGATAATATAACACGTGTGTATCCTGAAAGATGAACTGTCAAATACTGTCCATTAATATGCCAAATATGAAAGTAACATCGACATTTAGCTTAAATTGCTTGTGTATGTGTATGGGTGTCTTATCTGGTCATATATTGCGTATTGCAGACTTTCTGTAATGCAAACACCCCTGGTGATAATAGGAAGACTCAACCACACTACACCAATATGTTTGGTAAGATGTAAGTGATGGTATTACTTTGTTTATTGCAAATGTTCATACCCGTTGTATTTATCTTTGAAAATGTTTTGTCGGGTGCCTTTATTGAAGTGACCGTGTTGAAAGTGGGAGGCAGCAGGGGATGACACACAGCAAATGACCTGTATTGGAACCTTCAGGTTCTCCGCTATACCAAGTGAGCTATACGGCGGCCCTCATACATTTAATCTGAAAGTAGTTTTTATAAAAATAAAGGATTTAAATGAGGACATGTTCCTGTGCACCTGCCAATCGAATCACTGTACAGTACCTGCAGGGGGACATGGAGGCCTCCTCCACCGTGGCCAGGCTGCTCAGGCTGCCTGTCAGGCTGCTGCCATGGCTGGCGAAGGCGCCCCGATCCTCCACCAGCCAACGCATCGCCTCGATTCCCTCGTGCACAGCCACCAGCTGCCGCAGAATCCTCACATCAGCAGAACGCAGACACCTCTATATGCAGGAACAGTGCAGAGTTATATATATATACACATATATAAATAATATATATATATATATGAACGTGAAGCAAATAAGGACACTTAGGTTGTGATTAAAGTATGTGCACTCAGATTACTGCCTGGGCATACCGGCACAGGACCAGGAGCCCAAAGTATCATGGGCCAGACTGGCTTTTTAAATGGTGACAAAAAGGGGCAAAACAACCCCCCCCAAAAAAGCTACAACAAGTTTAAATGAACACAAAACAAACACAAAGGGACAACAAAATGACCACTGACTACAATAGCTGTGGTTTGTATACTTCTGCCAACCAGTCAAGTTTCAGTATACAGTTATATCCATGTCAATCCAAAATCTCAACACTCATTGTATCCTATTAGAAATGTATAACACTCATTAATAGGGTATGCATTCATGAGTTATGGCCACAATATGTTTTGTGAGATTACAGCTATCATGACTTTTGATACTTGCCTCTCAAAAAAAATCTGTTTGCATTTAACCTCTCTCCTGAACAATTCTGTCTCCCCCTAGTGAAGACCCCTGCCATAGCCACAACACATGAGGCAGAAGAAAGAGCAAAACACCTTGGGAAAATGAGGGAGGAACAAAGATGATAGGCAGAGTATGACCAGAGGACGTATCAGAAGTGAGTGGAGTGGAAATGAAACAGAGAGGCCAGGTAAGGGGTGTGGTGGAGAGACAGGTGATTCTGCCTGTCATTAGGAATCTAAATAAGCAGGTGAAGCGGCACAAGGTACCCTGTGACTTTGACATTTCTTCAGTCTAGAGAAAAACATGTAATTATAATAAAAGTATAGGCTATGGCAGAAACAAGTTGTGCACTAAACAGCAGATAGAAAACATGTAGTGCCTATATCTATATCTTTAGGGTGAGAATACTCACCATCTCTTGTTTTAAATTGCTTATTTTGTCAGAAAAACTATCGGAGCTGCGGTCTCCCATGTCCACCACATCAGACCTCCATCCATTTTCGCCGTCCGCAGCATCCCTCATCCAAATTAGAAGACTTTCCGGTGTCTTCCTGCCAACTTTATTTTCCACTTCCTTCAGATCTGGAAATGATTCGTTGTAGGTTTCCTCCGCCATCCCACCGCGCAGTAATCACTTCAAAATCTTGGATTGAGGAGATCTTGTGCGTAAAGTCGCTTTCCAAATCCAAATAAGACCCCGTAGCGGGAGAATGACACACCATAAACCTCTCAAACACTCACAATAATGTCCCACTCGTTATATTCCTGAACAGTCCACAATAAACCGCGATCACGATTGACAAACCTGCCACAGAAGCGCAGAACGAGCCATGAAAACGCTGGAAGTGAGCTAGCATGTCACCTGTTCACCTGCTGACTGCTGTCACCATTCAGGCAGCTTGATGGTATGCAGCCGTGAATGTGATGCTGGAAAGTGGAAATGCTCTTTGTGGTGTCCTGAAACAAAGGTGTGTGTTTCATACCAGCAGTCACGTGGTTAAAGTAACACATGTGCGCACATTACGTTGTTCTAAATCGGTGAATTCATGTGATGACAGACTGTAGCCTACTGTATTTAACTTTAGTGCACTATATGAAAAAAACACGGGAATTTCTTCCACATGGAGTGTTAGCTAACATGTTTTGGTTTATATATATTTTACATAATGTGATTTAAATTAGGCATTGGGTTAGCTAAATGTCTGGTTAATCTTATGCTAAGTAGGCTTTCGTTAATTAACAACATCACCTTAGTTTCTTTCTGAACTTTGAAGCAAAAATGTCACCTGTTTCCTGTTACATAATTCAAGTCAAAAAGAAAAAAGATATTATGTGCAACATGTTCCTTTATTTTAGGTTTTACAAAAGATACTTGGTTGCAAAAAAGCAGCTTCGCTAGCACTAATGCTTTTAGTTAGCCATTTCAGTAAGCTCACACTTACAATAAAACTACTTTACTCTAAATGATGCTGATATTAAACATAGCCTACAACTCATTGAATTATACAGTAGTCTATTTTGTAAAAAGGATAAATATGTAATTCATATATTAAACCATTTATATGTGCTGACACATATAAATGGTTAAAACATCACCATCAATGGAAAAAGTAACCTAAAATCTATCACATATTTTTTGGGAACTTGTGATATAAAAAAAAAAGTTATATAGGCCTACACTGAACAAAAATATAAACGCAACACTTTTGTTTTTGCTCCCATTTTTCATGAGATGAACTCAAAGATCTAAAAAAAAAATTATATACACAAAATAACCATTTCTCTCAAATATTGTTCACAAATCTGAAAAAATCTGTGATAGTGAGCACTTCTCCTTTGCCGAGATAATCCATCCCACCTCACAGGTGTGACATATCAAGATGCTGATTAGACAGCATGATTATTGCACAGGTGTGCCTTAGGCTGGCCACAATAAAAGGCCACTCTGAAATGTGCATTTTTGCTTTATTGGGGGGGGTCTGGGGGGGTCCGAAAACCAGGCAGTATCTGGTGTGAGGGGTAGGGGTAGGGTTAAGGGTAGGGTTAGGGTTAGGGTAATGTTGTGAATCGAGTGGCCCATGGTGGTGGTGGGGTTATGGTATGGGCAGGCGTATATAATGGACGACGAACACATGCCACTCGATTCACAACATTACCCTAACCCTACCCCTACCCCTACCCCTACCCCTACCCCTACCCCTACCCCTACCCCTACCCCTACCCCTACCCCTACCCCTACCCCTACCCCTAACCCTAACCCTACCCCTACCCCTCACACCAGATACTGCCTGGTTTTCGGACCCCCCCAGACCTCCCCAATAAAGCAAAAATGCACGTTTCAGAGTGGCCTTTTATTGTGGCCAGCCTAAGGCACACCTGTGCAATAATCATGCTGTCTAATCAGCATCTTGATATGCCACACCTGTGAGGTGGGATGGATTATCTCGGCAAAGGAGAAGTGCTCACTATCACAGATTTTTTCAGATTTTTTAACAATATTTGAGAGAAATGGTTATTTTGTGTATATAAAAAATGTTTTAGATCTTTGAGTTCATCTCGTAAAAAATGGGAGCAAAAACAAAAGTGTTGCGTTTATATTTTTGTTCAGTGTATTTTATTGGAAAATGTATCCAGATAGTTCCTTCAAAGTCAAAGTCAAAGTCAACTTTATTCTCAATCTCAAAATATGTTTGTACACCATGTTGTACACACAGAAAGATAGATTAAAAATAGATTATTTCTGACAAATAAGTATAACATTATACTTATTTTTATGTTTTGTGAGCTGAACTGTCTGCTTTTATATGTTATGTATCTCTCTGTACAACACTTTGGTTTTAAAGTGCTTTATAAATAAAGTTGGATTGAATTGGATTGGAAATAGATATGTATTTGTCAAAACGACAGACTCTACATCTCCTTCCTCACCAAAAGTAAACACCAGCAACATCAAGGGAAATGATTATGACTGTATTTATCTTTATAATATACAGTCACATTTAATTCAAACTATATTTACAAAAATGTGGTGTGTACAGTCGAAAAAAACACAATACACATTTTTTTGTTTAAACGCTAAGGTGCCGCCAAAAAAAAAGAAGGGGTCTCAGATAATAATGCAAAAAGGACCAGATACCTCTTTTCTCATTTCTAAATGCAAAGATGTTGTGAATCCTGTGTGTGCTAGCGGGAGGAATTTACCTGGAGGTGATAGAAGGGGCATTCCCTCGATCTAGTAACATCGGGGGCTTAGCCCGACAATTGTTCATTCAAAAATATACATATCAATAGAATATCCAAATATTATCCAATATGAAATGTTAATAATGAATTAAAACTCTCTATAATAGACAGGGCTGGCCCTCGGCATAGGCAGTATAGGCAAATGTTAAGGGCGCGTCAACCCATAGGGGGCGCCAAAGATTTGGGAGAAAAAAACAAGTTAGAAATTAAAAATGTCATAACAACACAATTTCCTGATTTTGGATCAACAAAGTGCATCTTATTATCTTATACTAACAGAACTACGCCTATATTGCGTACAGCGCCCATAAACTATGGCACACCCCCCCCCCCCCCAAATCAAGTTGAACTGCCCCAGCCCCAGTAAAAACCAGAGGTTTATGTGAAATTGTTCTTTTTTTTAAATAATGGTTTTAGTGTGCAATTATAGGTTTTAATTTTGTATTCGTGTTCATTTAAAATAAATCAATCTCCCAAAAAACGTACACAGCTTCTGTGTGCTTTTATTAACATTGGAATTTACATTGTAAGCGGCCGCGGGGGGAGAGCTTTGGAGAGCTCTCTCCTGAAAGACTGAGAGGCTTTGATAACCTCAGCTCAGTGAGGTAAAGGCACACCTTTATATGATCATTATAGTTATACAAAAATAAGAGAATAGGTGAAAAACAGGTATAAAATACTATATGACAGTATAAAAAAGTTGTTATTAATAAACAACAATACAGTTTGAAAGGGGAGTGATTTGTAAAATATCCATAAAGAAAAAGTAAATCTGTTTACAGTTCTGTTTCATATGGGTGTTGAGAGATGTATCCATAGATCTCTTCATGTTGCTCTCAAAGTGCACCAGATTGATGCTTTTAACTTCAATATTAAAAAAAAAAGTCTTCCCGGGGGTGCATGCCCCCGGACCCCCCTAGAGGAGGTGAGGTCCCCCCCCCACTTAAATCATGTTCAATTGGATAGGAAACTAAATACAGTTGCACACATCTTGTGTCCATATCTTTCTGTTTTGGTGGTCATGTCACAACCGTGCACGCGCGAGTCATAGTGAGTGTCTGCATTTGGGGGGGGGCGCCAGCTAAAATCTTGCCTAGGGCAGCAAATTGGTCAGGGCCGGCCCTGATAATAGACCAATCGTTTACCAAGATCTTAACTTATTGATACTATTTTACACTTTTTCTCTCTACATTTCTCAGGGTTTCCATTACAAGCTCACAAAGGCTTTTGTTTGTTTTGACGGATAGATTTTCTCCTCCTCGGATAAGGCGCTCATGTGAACTTCATCGTAGTTAGTGCTCTCATACTCATTCAGATTCCCTAAATGTAAGAATTATAAAATACAACAAGTGGTATAGATGACAGATTATATTCGTACTGACTGTACGGGTGGATTCAGGTGAAGCAAGCAAAAGGAAAAAGCATAATAAAAGACTTAAGGTGATACACAACAGGCATTTCCTTTTGATTGTACTGGCCTATTTTTTGAGTTTGGGATTTGATGCCTGATACATTTCTTCTTTCAGACTAGTGGTAAGAAAACAGCTTATTCTGCTATAATTTGTCTATTTGCATCTGTAGATTTCTTCAACATTCACTAAAATTAAGATTGCGATAAAGCCACATCGAAGAACTTTGCTAAAAGTAAGTTCCTCAATTTCCAACACAATGGGTAACATTTATGATTAATGTTTGCAAATATGCTTGATCACATTTAACAATGGAAGTGTTTTTTTGAGATACATTTATAATGAATGTAAAAGTCCACATCCACCCTAAAAAAAAGTGAGTTGAATATCCATGCTTATCAAATATTAAACATCATGGCGTTTCATATTTTGACTGATTGTCAATAGATTTTTGACTGTATTGCCATTCATGAGTTTTAGAACTTTTTGCATCAGAAATATGTAAAGTTGTACTTTTTTGTGAGTAAATGCTTACAACTTTCCAAAGAGACTATAACAGAAACAGATCTGCAGAGTTTTAGCCCACGTTTAGACACCGAGACGGGCCAAGTTAGCAGTGAGGAGGCCAACATCTGCCATCCACTAAAATAGAGGGTTTATTTTAATGCATCTATCATCTTGCCCCATATTGACATCTTTCAAAATTGAGGGCAGTTGATATGGGAGTTTCTTTCTGCCTCAACATTAAGAGTAAGACCAGTTAAGTTAAGTTAAATTAGGCGGCAGTAGCTCAGTCCGTTGGGACATGGAACCGAAGGGTCGCCCGTTCAATTTTCCGAGGTGTCCCTGAGCAAGGCACCGAACCTCCAACTCCCAGGCATCGGAGCGCTGGCAGAGTGAGGAAAAGCAGCCCCATCGCTCAGCCACTTCTCCATTTAGTGCATGTCTATAGGCCCTGTTGTGCATCTGGGTGTGTATGTCCGGCCTATGTGTGAAATTGTAAATTAACACAAGGGTGAATAACTGAATTTCCCCTCTGGAAGTAATAAAGGTGATCTTAATCTCTAAAAAAAATACAAATTGATGATGCAGTGAGAAAAGAGAGAAAAAGTAAAGCAACATGGAGACTGCATGGCGGAATATACGTTTATTATGCTTCAGCTTACAGAACAACTAAACAAAGAGAAGTTGTTTTATGTGAAGCTTTGTGACTGAGGGAAAAAACCATTTAGGAAGGTTTTACTACTGGGCACTGAT